TATTATTCCTTTTTGGTAGCACCTTACATTTCTTTGGACTAATATTCTTTTCCACCATAGCATTTACCCTCCATTGTTGTTGATATATTATTCCTTTTTGTTAGCACCTTACGCTTCTTTGAACTAATATTCTTCTCTACTATAGCACTTATCCTCCATTGTTGTTGATATATTATTCCTTTTTGGTAGCACCTTACATTTCTTTGGACTAATATTCTTCTCCACTAGCATTCCTCCTCCATTGTTGTTAATCAGTTGATGTATTATTCCCTTTTAGCATGCACCTTACATTTCTATGGACTAATATTCTTCTCCACCATAGCATATGTCCTCCATTATCGTTGTTGTATTATTCCTTTTTGGTAGCACCTTACATTTCTTTGGACTAATACTCTTCTCCACCAGCATTCTTCCTCCATTGTTGTTAATCGGTTGATGTATTATTCCCTTTTAGCATGCACCTTACATTTCTTTGGACTAATGTTCTTCTCCTCCAAAGCATACTGCCTCTGCTGATTTCTCCTTCATGTTTAACCAAAAAAATGAATATAGTTACTTTTCCAATCAAATAAGTGGAAATGACGCGTGAAGAGGAAGGAAAAATATAAAGGGTTCCACTTTATAATCTTTCGGAATTTTTCTCTAACGTTTTCAGATTCCAGATGTTCCCAAATTCAGAATGGCTTCCTTTCTTCTTTGCCGCGAATCCTTTTCCTTCTCTTTAATTTAGCTTGGGTCGAATCGGCTTTCTGAAATTGGGCCTGTTTAGATAGAGAAAGCCTGAGGTTTGGGGTTTGGACATCTTAAGCCCAAATTTGCTTTTCAAAAATCAAACCATTTTAATTTTAAAGCCCGATTGATTTTCCCCTTTTCTGTTCTCTTTGTTCTCTGACTTTCACATGTTTTTAATTTCTTTTACTACCCATAATTTTAGGAGTTTTAAATTGAGTTTTAAATTTTTTTAGACATATATTTTAAGTAAAAATTTAACATATTATATAAGATTCTATGTATTTTTTTAGTTATTTTAATCTCTCAATTTTATGGAAATTAATTTACAAATTTTATAGGGTAAATGAATGACAATTAAAAAATTTTTTTGATCTCAATGAAAATACTTAATAAGAACTTACATATATTAAAAAAATTCTAATTATCTTTTATTTTCTATATAAAATTATTTAATCAAACTATGACAACTAAAATTCAAC